TTCCAATATATGTTAGTTCTCTGTAAGCCCAAGTATTGAGCAATGACTTGATACTGTTTATCTTGGCTGAAAAATTATATTGAGTCTTATCCACTTTAGCAAGCTCAAACCATATACCCAATAGTTTGAACCTCCCAGAAAAGTTCCAAACAAGATTTTTGTCTGGCAAAAGTTTTTCCATACTACCCTTTTTGACCCAATCCATATGGCTTCAGTTTTGTCAACATTACACATAAGTCCAGCACATTCTGAAAATTTATCAAACAAATGTGAATATTGTTTTAGAGACTTTTGGTCACCATCCAGGACTAGGGAAGAATCGTCAGCATATTGAATCAACAAAAATTCAGAGTCATTAATCGTTACACCAGAAACATTAGGGTCATTTTTAATAGCTGCACTGAGTAATTCAAGCACTAAAATTAATAGATAAGGAGACAGAGGATCCCTTGATGAATCCCTCTTTTCAATGAAAAAAAATCTGAAATATATCCGTCATTTAACACTGCACTAGAGGCATCACAGTAGCATGCTTTAATCCAACTTTAAAATGTACGGTCAAAGCCATAAAACTGCAAAGCCTATAATATAAAAGAGGCTGTGTCGAAGGCTTTTTCAAAATCAACTAAAAGTTAAAGTCCAGGAATGTCATCTTTCTCCATCTTTTCGATCAGATCATATATAAATCTAGTACATCCCCCTATATACATACCTTTAAGAAATTCTTTTTGTGTTTGGCTTATTATATTTACCAGCACCTTTTTAAGTCTATTTTCTAGACTTACTGTAGCTATCTTATAGTCTACACACAGCAGTGTGATAGGCCTCCAGTTCTTCAGATACAATTTTGACTTACCCTCCTTTGGTATACAAGTAATGAGTCCCTGTCTTTGAGTGATTGAGAACTTTCCATATTCTAAAGCCTCATTTAAACATCTTACCAGTGGAATCTTAATATCATTCAACAAAAATTGTAAAACTCAACAGTGAATCCATCTATACCAGGGGATTTGAGATTCTTCATATGTTTAAGAGAATACAAACATTCCTGCAATGTTAAAGGTCCCTCACAGTAACCCACCTCTTCCTCATAAGGTTTTGTAATAATAGGATTATCATGCTGAAGAAATGTGTCCCTGTGAGTTTCAAGTAACAATGGATTAGAACTAGTATATAATCTTTTTTTAAATTGTTTTTGTTCATTTCTAATAGTTCTTGGATTTGTTATCTCAGACTCGTCCTCCAAAATAAGTTTCGGAATATTTTTTTCTGTGTAATGTTTTTTTTTCAAATTACAAAAAAAAGTTACTTCGTTTTCCCCCTCTGATTGCCATCTTGCCTTAGCTCTTGTAATTATCCCTTTGACATTTTTTTCCCTTAATATTTTTAGTTCTAGTTCCATCCCTTCCCTTTCTTGGTATAATAATGGCAAGTTATTCTCCAAGAGTTTTTTATTACCTAGTAATGATATCTTATATAGTAATTCTTTTTCTTTTTTATTTATCTTCCTTCTTCTGAAATGACGAAAATGAGATTGCAGATCCGCGGACTTTCATCTTGAACATATCCCATAAAAGCTGATAGCTTATATCAAACTGTTTATCTTCTGTCTCAATATCCATAGATGGATCAGACTTATATTCTTCAATGATAGTTTTGATGTCCCCTTTTACATTTTCAACAAATTCAGTTTCCCTCAAAAGACTGAAAGTTTTAAATTAATAAGTACAGGATAATGATCTGATCTATAACTTATCCCTATATCCGATGAAATTACAAATGCTTCTATATCAGAGGTAATCATAAAGTAGTCCAAATGACTTATAACGTAACATGCCATCGATGTTAGTGGATATCAATGTATGAATAATAACTTGATGTATTTTGTTTGTACTGATGTATGCAATGTCAAACAAAGTGACTCTCTTAAGATTTTAATAATGATAGTACCATATGCCTCACAGTTTTGTGATTCGAATGTTCTCAGTGCAGTGCATATACCAAATGACTACATATCTGAAAATAAAATAACTCCGATATACTTTAGAGGACATAAAAAAGACATCGAATTGCCAATTAGATTATTCAGCATCCTGATAACTATAAACAACTAAAACGCTTTATTTGTGCAGAGAAGAAAATAAGAGAGATAAAAATAAATATAAACGTAGTCTACTTAAAGACTTTTTGTTGCTGAGGGACGTTTCGTTCTCGAATGCATTGCCAGATTAGTAACTCATACTTCGGGAAACCCAGTAAATATTATTGATGCGATTCTTTTTTTATAAATGACCATTCATTTAACGTTAAACTAGTTTCACTCTGATTTTTCTACCGCAGACATTGATCGTCTTCGCGAGATTCTAAAGAAGTTTTAGAGATGTATGGTTTCCATACTACCAACATCGTTATAGAATTGGCCATCAAACTGTCAATATTTGATTGTATCTGATGAATCTTATGTTGCAGGCACGCAAGTTAAATCTACAAAATTTAAGCCCCGGTCACACCTTACCGGATAGCGCGATCGAATTTCGAACGGATAACTTTTTTTCAATCCGTTCATATCCGTTCTTATCCGTTAGAAATCCGTCCATATCCGTTTCATGTCCGTTTCATGTCCGTTCAGCGTCCGTTTTATCCGTCGACGACCGTTCTGTCCGGTGGAAAATTTTGAGCATGTTCGAAACTTTGAACGGACGTCCAACGGATGAAGTGTCCGTTGAACGTCCAGAAGCCGTCCATTTTTTACGGTACTCGTCCGTTCCGTTTCCGTTTTGTATCCGTTACTTCTCCGTTATACTTCCGTTGGAGGTCCGGTAGACCAATTCACCAACGAACTTCTACCGAACGCATAACGGATAAAACGGATGATGAATGGATGTGAAACGGACATGAACGGAAGGATAACGGATAAAACAGAAATGTACCGAATGTAAAACGGATAAATGCCAATTGAAAATTTCGCGTCAGAAATGCCAATTATTGGTAAGTCAGATACAGTAAGATTAAATTTTGAATTTTTTTCCTCTTCCTTTTCCACCCTACCCTTTGGCGGCATTTTAAGAAAAAACTAAAACCAGTTACACGGAAACTTTATAATAATTTTAAAGTCACGTGTTTGTGATTTACATGTATTATTATTGCCGTGTCCGTTTTATGCGGTACTCGTCCGTTGGATGTACGTTCGACATTTGTTCTGTCCGGTACGTTTCCGTTTCTCGTACGTTGCATATTCTCTGTGTGTCCGTTAGGCATTCGTTACGCGTCCTTTTTATTTGTCAGTACACCAACGGACTCTCAATGAATAAAAATTTTGTCAACGGAAAACTTTTTTTTTCATCCGTTTGGCTTCCGGTAAGGTGTGACCACAGCTGAAAGGAAACAACTGATGAGTTTTATGAGTCGTTATGCGTGTTGTATATACTAAAGTATAAGCTTGAAATTAATTATCTTTAAGGCTTGTCTGCTGCTTAATTGATGTAGCTGTGTCGTATTATGTCAATTCGAGCGCATCTAATCAATCTTATTGGGGGAATTGCGTATCTTGTTCCTTTGATGAGTTTGTTTTCAACCATGGTTCGGTTAGTCCTCGGTAGCATCACTAGCCACGTTATTGATATATTAGTTCTGATTTTTTATATTATGAATGCAGTAAGCGGTAATCTAAAAGCAATTATGATTTATGCATCCTTATGTGTAAAAAAAGGTAAAATAACAAAAATACTGAACTCCAAGGAAAATTCAAAACGGGAAGTCCCTTAACAATTGGCAAAATCAAAAGCCCAAACACATCAAACGAATGGAAAACAACTGTCATATTCCTGACTTGGTACAGGCATTTTCTGTAAATGATATAAGAAAACTAAGGTCTTTTAAACCGATGTCGTACACTGTCTTAACATAAATTGAAATAACCTCTTTGAAACAGGTTTTTAGAGAAGATCGGCTGACCACTTCTTTGCCCATTGGACATCGAAAATCTAAACCTGTTATAAATGTACGAAATACCATCATTCAGAGGTTAACAATATGCTGTTAAGTTAGATTTTAGCATTCATTCTGTTAATTGTGTTAAGCTTCAACCTTTTGCATTTGACGCAAAACTGCAACCCCCACGCACAAAGTATTCATTTGAGAATTTCATTGTAACTATTTATAAACACCTTTTGGTTTGTAAAATAAGGTTAAATTATTTCTTAATTGTCGACTAAAATATCGCATACATTAAGCCTTCAATTCTAAAAATTACTTGAAGTCGATTGTGGAAATAACTGGGAATATCGGTAAAAATATTCACACAATGCAAATCAGTCGAACTAAACAATTCCTTTCAAATGACTCATTGGCTTCTGTACTAATGCTGTCTTCTAGGACAAAATGTTCATTGACTGCTGATGTCTCAAAATACAACAAAAGAGAAACATACGAACCTGGAATCTTTTATCACATTCACAGCATTACAAATAGCATTCAATATTCTAGAAAAGAAAAGATATTATATTGACGTTAATTAAACAACTTAAAGTTCAAAAACAAAACAAATGTTACGGATGGATTAAATTTTATCTTTTAGCTGTATCCATTTGTCGATCACATAGTAGTACCTAAATAACGGGTACTAACTCATCACAGGTCTATCATATATTCTACTCCATGTGCTAGTTCCTTCTACTGATGACTTATCAGTGACATACGACTCAAAACAGTTGGAAGGCAGAATCAAAAACTAAGTTAAGGAGCATTGAAAACCTCAAATCACGAAACGTGGTGCCAAATATAGCTAAGCCTATATTAAGTACTTTCTATTTACAGATTTCTCTTTAGCAGAATTGACTATCAGCAGGTCGTTAAGACAGAAACCATCTGATACCCCTACTAGCAGTATTTCAACAGGACTATCCACTGATTTAAGCAAACAGTACGGTGAAAGTCTGATGTCAGGTGCCTCTATTCGATTTAATGAACAACACGTAGTCTTTAAGGAGAGAAATGAAATGCAAGGTGTTCCAGTCGAAACAGAAAAGGATAACAGCAGATCAAGAGAACAACGGGTTTGGAATATTCCAACGCAAAGTATAGCAGTCAACAGACCAATCACAAATATTCTTCTAGATCTACATAAACCACAAGGTGATCTTAATGACAAAAGAACAGTAGCAAAAGTCCATCTGAGTCCAGATGAATTGCGAGGCCATCCTCCAGACGAAATACCAGTGCAAAATGTACATCTTGATCTGCAAAAGCAACAGGACCATCCTTTAGACGAAAAACCAATACTGAATGTCCCTCTTGATTTAGATAAAACAAAATGTAATTCCAAAGATGAAATACTAGTGCCATGTGTCTCATTTGATCTACACAAACAGCAAGGTAATCAGAAAATGCGTGTTCAAAATATGCCTCTGGATCTAATCAAACAACAAGATTATCCGCAAGACAAGACACCTGGGCCAAAGGTCCTTCTTGACATAGATAAACAACAAGTGCATCCTTTAGACGAAAGACCAAATGTTCAATTTGATTCAAAAACACTATCGAGGAAATTTCGAAAAAATCCGTTCTTTTTACATGAACTAAAAGGAGATTATAACGATAACAGGGCAATCCCAAATATCTTTTTTACTAAAGAAAATCAAAAACAGGATTTGCAAGGCGATGTACCACTACACAGAGATCCCTATACGAGCAGGACAATGGCATGTAATCCAGTAATTTCAAGTGATCAACCAAATTTTTCAGATGAAGACACCCATTGCACAGAATTTGAAGACGACATTAAAGATATACCGGTTCCAGTTAATCAAACTTATGTTAAGGCTGCATTAGAAAATGAATCACAAAAATATAAGCCAAATCCTGAATCGTCTGTGGTTCTGGGTGATACAAATCATAGCAGTTTTCCAGAAGATTTGTCTATGCACGTTTCCAAAGAACAAATGAAAATATTGACTAAGTTATCTGAAGTAGAGCCAGCAACACCTGGGTTGACACATTCTGTAGAGTCTGTTACTAATCCTCGATTAATTACAAAACTTAAAAGATTCTTCGGAGTTTCTAAAGAAGTGAAAGAGATAAAGGTATCAATTACGGAAGAACACATTTTAAGGCAATCTTTAAAAGTAGGAAAAAAAAAGTTACATCAAAGAAATATAGCTCCCGTTATAATATGGGACTTTGGAGGACAAGATATCTTTTACTCCACGCACCAAAGTTTCCTGTCTTATCGAGCCATCTATTTGATTGTACTGGATGGTAGTAGGACCCTTGACGACCCATGTCCATTTGAGCAATATTTACCGGGGAAAAGTGGACCGAAAACAGCAAGAGGTATAATCAGTTTACAAAAAGTACCAAAAATGTATATGAATAATTTTTTCCTGAACATACAAAAAACATCTTATGGTTTTTAGGAAGTATGCATATTTACGTCATGTACGTCTTTTATATTTACTACAACACATTAAAAATAATCATAAGTTTCTAACGAGCCTATCATAGTGCAAATGTTGGGAGATATTCCTATATAGTATCAACTGAAGAAGGAATGTTTATCTCATATCCGCTTTATTATTAGAACCTGTTGCGACTGCCCATAGTACAATATGATATTTTTGTTGGAAAAATCACACCATCACAAAGTCATAACGATGAGGTAACTGTCGTTAAATCAACAGTAGTAAAAAAGACATGTATATGAGTTTTTCTATCGTAAACAACCTCAAACGAAACGAACTTTTACATTATCAAAATCAAAACGTTTTACATGTGCTGACATGTTGTCTGAATCTTTATAAATATTAAACAATTAGTATGATTGCATCATTGATTAAGAAATCCAAAAACGATAATAACAAAAGACACATAAAAGATCAACATACAGTGTTTAAAGGGACATTAGATACGAGAAATTTAAAAAAAATGTATGATTTTTTGTGTTCAATCAATAATGAAAGTTAAATCACAAATACAAATTCGCTTTTGGCAGCCAGTTTGTTTAATTTTGTCAAAATAAACGAAGAAATATCGCTGATAAATTATTCACGTGCAAATAATTCGTTCTCATTGAATTTGCATTCATGTGACCTTCGATTTAACCCCTTTAGCTGGAGATAGGTTACGCATGTATTCAGCTATTAAAAGGATAAGAATGTCATCATTGAAAGTGAAACAAGGATGAACCATATGGTTAACTGCTTCGATCCACAAAAATAATCATTTTTATACGGGTAACAACGATGATAAACATACTTTTAAACCTACACTATGAAATCAAACTGACCTAGCAAAACCCAATTGCACATGTTCGCTATCTATTTATATTCATATGTTAATGTTTATACCGGGTCATATGACCGACGGCAATCTTCGAAGGTCATTTTGACAGTTAATTAGATGACATTTAGATACAAATATTATCGAGTCCATGTATTGCTTATTGTTTATTTGGAACTTTTTGTAATTCGAATATAAATTTCAGTATGTTATAAATCAAATATGATTATCTGAGTCAAATCGGTGAACACGTATTTGACAGCTAATGCCCCTTTAACATTCATTTATTCATTATTATTCGTTGGATACCAATTTTCGTTGCTTTCGTGTGTATAGGTGAATCTCGAATTAATTAAATATTGCAATAATTACAGATGTTCTATTATAAGTTACATGGTTTGCTAATAACCTCTTACGAATTCATAAGGGGTTAGTAAAATCCGTAGGAGGTAAGTAGTGAACCGTTTAACGAACTTATCGCACACGAGACTTTTCTTGCCAAATTTTGTATAACAATAGCTGACGTAACCATTAATAGTAGACGGGACGTCATCAACCTCTATGAAATCTACTGAACCCATACCAATCTGTAGGGGTTCACCACGTGACGACTTTTAACCAATTATAACGTCACTAATTTATCCGAGGTGCGAAAAAAGGTTGTATGAAGACTAAAGCAAAACAAAGAAATCAAAAATTCACGAAATGCAAGGTTTCTTTAATACACGTAAATTAGTACCAAAGAAAATAAATGAATCCACAGTACTAAATAGTATGCTGTGGTTGCAAATGCAGAACTATACATCGGGGACCATGATCTAGCCCGTTATAGCTTAGTATCCAGAATAGAGTTTGTTAATTGTTGAAGACCGTCCGGTAACCTCTAGTTTGTAACTTCTATATCATTTGGACTATAATGCATAGTGTGGCATTGGCCATTATACAACATCGACTTATTTTATGTGTATATCATGTTTGAGAGCGTATGTATAAATGCAAGTCACTCTTAAGTGACAATGCGAAACTATCAAACTATCAAACTATACTTACATATAAATGCATAGCAAGGCTCCGTGTTGAAGGCCGTACCTTGACCTATAATGGTTTACTTTTATAAATTGTTACTTGGATGGAGAATTGTCTCATTGGCACTCATACCACATCTTCCTTTATCTATAGATTTATTTTGCAGACATTGAAGAAATTCTCAGATTTATTGGTAATTTGATTTTAACTTCATCTGAACAGTGTAAACATGAAAACTATAAGTTTTGCTAAAAGATTTAGTAAATTTTCAGATTTTTTCATGTTGCACATTCAGTAAAAGAGAGGCTTAAGATACCAAACCCCACCCATATTAGTTCTTTGTCAGCTACCTTTAACATATCTTCGAAGAACGAGAAGAGTTAAGAATGAAGACATCGTAAATAAAGAAAAACAAAGACACACACTGTATGTTGGTGTGGTTCGTGTGGTTAAACGTTTGCCTTGCCTAAGAGTTTTTTTTGCACATTTAATTGCTTATATATTTTTTCATCATTTTTCTATATTGCCATGGTGTTGTATCTCGATCTTGAACTAATGTTTGTTCCACGTGAAGTGCCAGATGTAGTTAATCACATGCGGCATTGCATAATGTGCTATTATGATTGTAAAGTGTATTATTGGGAGCTGCGAAATACTTGGAACTGAGCAATCTTAACAAAAAAAAGGAAAATTTCTATCTTTCAAAATAGTGTTAAACATTTTCCCTTAATAATGTTATTTTTCATTTTAAACAGATTACCTGCGATTCTGGACGAATACAATTGTGACATACTGCAAAGGGAGCCAGCATGGATTTCCCAAGATTATGATTGTTTTTACACATAAAGACAAGCTGAAACCTGTGAGTACACACATCTTTAGTTCATGCAATCAATGAATACCAAATGAAATTTATTTTCACCGAATTATTTTTTTTTCTTTTGTGAGTTTATCACATTCATCGTCATTTTCTTTTAATGTTTTGATACGTAGAGATGTGTTTATAATGTATACAGAGGTTATTCTACTCCTTTATTTAAATTTAAAATATGCACTTTTTCTTCCTTTTACTGACAGAATAATGGAAACTTGAACGGAAGAAATTAAGAAAAACCCGATTGTTTTTAAATTCCCCATGTGACATTTAGTTTTAAATTTAAACGGAAATGATTAATGTACAATGTATCGCATTTTTAGAGTGAAGTTGAAACAGCGAGAGAACAACTATTCGGAGATGTAAAGAGCATGTTTCATGGATCCCCACTGGAGTCACATTTGGTAATTGAGGACAAAATCTTTGTAAATGCTAGAAACAAAAATGACCCAGAAATGGCAAAGATAAAACAAACTATTATACGAGAGTCTACGCGCCAACCAACATGGGGACAGAACTTACCAAAATGCTTTATCCCTCTGGAATTAGAATTCGAGAATCTTATTCGAAAGGACATAAATGTAATTACATTTGACGATTTGAGAAAGATAAACACTGAGCATCCTATAAGACCACTGACAGATGCCGAACTCAAGGTTTTCCTGAAATTCCAGCATGCTATTGGCAAAATTCTATACTTTGATGAACCTGGATTGAATCAACATGTTATACTTTTGCCAACATATCTCATTGATGCTTTCAAATTAATAATCACTGATAAAAGTTTCTGCAAAGGCGAAAAACGAAGGGAAGATTTGTTGAATCTGATGAGCCAGAAGGGGGTCATCTCCAAATTCGCAATAGAAGAACTTTGGAGATATAAGAAATATCGCAAGTTTGAACAACGCAAGGACTATTTATTAGCAGTCATGACTCACCTTGATATTTTAGTCGAACCAAAGAGATATGACCCCAAACACAATCGAATTCCGGCTGACTTTTACTATGTAGCAAGCATGGTGCAGGCTAAAGATGCTACTGGATACATACTCTCTCCATCTTTCAGTGAAAGAAACATTGCAATATCATTCAACTCAAATGCTGCAATAATACCCCCAGCATTGTCATTCAGGTTCATCACTTACTGCCTAAGTATTTTTGATGTGAAGAAGTATGGCGAGAGAAACGAGGACATGCTGTTCCACAGATCTGCTGTATTTACGATCGACTCATCTTTAGATATCCACATTCTCTGTGAAGATGAACGGATTTTCGTCCGTCTTGTCCATGCTAAGAAGAAAGTACTGATAATGAAAGACCTAGCTTCAAGTATCTGCGAATGTTTGAAATCAGCCCTTCAGAATATTGTCCAGCTTTATATTAAAACCAGCAGTGACACGTTTGATGTTAACACGGGGTCTTTTGAACTGAACCTGTGCTGCAGTGATGCAGAAAGTCCATGTTTCCTACCCTTGGATAAATTTGATAGTATTGATAGTATTTGGATATGTCCGAAACATAACATGGAACATGAAAGATTCGTGTTATCTCTTTGGATAAAAGAAAAGGTAATTAAACATTCCATTAGAACACAGTTTTTAAATAACTTTTAGTTCATTTTGTATCTGCCCTTCTAAAGACAATCTGAACCCACTTGCTTGCACTTAGATCATATTATGAGCTTAACACTTCCTAAGTACAAAAGATCTCTCCGGGTTTTTTTTCTTTGGGAGGGGAAGGGGGACTTGTTGCTCTGTCTCTTGTTTTATATTAAATGTTTTGCAGACTGTTGTTTGTTTTCTTCGCAGTTGCCATGGTTTTGTAGATTTCTCTTCGACCTATACATAGTGATTATTTCATTGGCATCTGTCGCCTCTTTTTAAGACGTATCTGTTTAATTGGTCGGAAATCACAATGATCGAAGGTAAAACGTTTATTCAACAAACAGTACACAAAACATTCCACTTATTACTGCAGATTAGGTTGTACGAATCAAACTTATCATAATGAGTGCACCCATTGATTACGGAACGGTAAACAGTTGCATGTCTTCCAGTTGCTTCCGTATGTGATGTCATAAGCGAAAAAGAAAGGGGTGTTTGTTGAAAATGAACATGCATCAGAAAACCAACAACATTACATATACACGTTTTGGGACAATAAAATCAAAGGACCTATTAAGAAAACTCATTGTGTCAAACTGTTAAAATTATTTTTTGAAAATCGAGATCAAATTCATTTATTTATATGTGGTAATTTATAAACTTTTCGTTGCTGAAAATCTAAACATTAAGACATCTCTGTATATGGTTTGGTTTTGATTTGGACCTTTACATTATAATATCAACGCTCTAAAGAAGAAATATACTGTTTTAATCCTGAATGTCAATCATTGTGTCCGTCTGCCTGTCCGTCCAATTAAATGTCCATCGCATTGTATGAGAAACTACAAATCAGAGCTTTGGTTGTCAACTTTCTGTTTACTGGATACTTATATATTGTAACACATAATGACCATGCATGAAATTTTCGTCGCATTTCTTTAGGGAACTACTAATAAAAGCTGTCATCAGGCTCCAATTGAACCGTGTGATACAATTTCATATACTACTTCCTGTTTACTATACACTTGAAGCGGGGTTTCATTAGTAAACAATTGCTCACATTTATACTTGTTTTGCATCAGTTTTGAATAAACATTTGTAGGTAGTTTGCATCATTTCCATTTTTCATGAATTGTAATAGATCCTTAAAATCAAAATGAGTTACAGGTCAACACATAAACTTCTACGGTGTTTAAGTAAGGCTTACAAATAGGAATGACAGGAAACGCAAAAACTGCAGAACAAAACAATAAATAAAAGAACAACTCATTCACTACTCTAAAAAAAAACAAACCCGTACGACAAACAGCAGTGAAAACACAATGTGCATTTGCGTATCGGGGTGCTGGTGTCAAACCATTTTTTACGTGCGCACATTCTATTTTCAGAAGCTTGGTAGATTATTTGTCAAACAAACTACAGAATTGAACAAGAAAACAAAAACACACATGACTAAGAACGTAGGCCTCATTGTGCTTGCTTCTTCGAGAAACTAACTAACGTCACAACAGAATAGTTTTGTGTACACAAAGCGTTTATAAATCAGTTCGGTGTGAGCCAAGGCTCCGTGTTGAAGACAGTACTTTGACCTATAATGGTTTACTTTTGTAAATTTTGACTTGGATGGAGAGTTGTCTCATTGGCACTCATACCACATCTTCTTATATCTATATTCAAGAAATATCGGAAAAATTGCTTTTACATGGAATGTTTTCATAAAAAAATATCGGTCTAAAAAATGCCATAAAAGTGCATACCGGTTATATAAATTATTAAAACAATCTTTATTAGCAAGCTGGAATCCCCATGCAATCATGGCAATAACAACTCTTTATTAAAAACCGGCGAAATTTGAACACAATTTTATTGTCTTTAATTATTCGAATAAAATCTCAGATATTACAAAAATTATACAACTTAGCATTTTACAAGGCACAATTTTCTTTTTTTTTTTTAGAAAACAGGAATCAAATGTGAAGTGAATTGCCCAGGTACGATACTATATATTCATATTGTTCAGTGTCTAATAGAAAATGAATTGCAATTGCAAACGGGCGATGCTGAAAACGATAACAGATATTGATTTAAAAAAAATGGCAGACCTGAAGACGTAATATTGTGTGACTTACATTTTGCTCTTTTTACATCGATTTATTAGATATTTTCATTAAATGACATTCAACATAAAAACAAATAGTATTCAAGATAAGGTTTATTAGTTCATGGTCACATTAATGTGTGGTGATGATGGTTAAATAAAAGCATAATTGAATGTCAGAACAACAAATACAACAGTTTGACTTATCACAATGATATTTTACCATTTTCTATTGAATCTGGCGATGCTTTATGTTTTTTTTTAAAGTACTGGGCCTCTGAATAAATGCCACTTGTAAAGAGAGGCGAACAAATTCATACTGTTCCAGTCGTACATCAGGGTATCAATTTCACTTTTATAGGTATGAATTTTGACAATGTTGAAATTAAAACAAATTAACAATTATTTATTATTACTGTATCACAATCAAACTTGTATTCAAGTCTTTTTTTCATAATAATTATTTTGCAGTCACGAATGAGGAGTTTTTGAGTGAAGTTCCCTCAGCTCTTCATTTGCGTCGGCTGTCCATACTTTACAATCTTGATGATATAAGAGAAATGGTAATATATCTTGGCCTTCCATACGTTGTCTGGAGCGACCTCTACCAATTGGAATCTGACCCAGAACTACTGAAATTCGAAGCACTGTGCCGGTGTCACAAGAAGTCACCTCTGACTTTTAGAAAAATCAAGAAAGCGATAGAAAAATGGCGGATTCAAACTCCTCATATCCTATGCGAGGTGAATGTATTTTATTTCAAACTTTGTCCTCGTGTTTTATCCGATCAGATGAACGATGTTACTCTTCTGGTCTGTCTATAATATAAAACGTATAGGAAATATTCAAAAATTGTATTTTATAGGGCAATCGAGCGGGGCTGTACACTGACAAAACATTGGTTTTTTTTTCTTCAAATTAATAAAACTAACAGGCTTATAACTTAATACAACAGATACACGTTTGGTATGAGACATGCAAGACTCGAATTAAAACAACTTAAAGGCCAAAATGAAAGAAGTCGAACAACACTTGCTTGAACAAATATCAAACTGATAATAATTCAGACAACGTATGAACCTGAATTCATGGAATAACCTTAACCTTTTTCTGTGGAGGATGCACATTAAGACAATTAATGTCTCTTCAGTGCCGTTCCAACTCATAATATTTGAAAGTTAAAAACAAAATTTATACACACGTTTAAGAGCTGAATAATTATAGTTAATACTAAGCAATCACGAGAGGTTGCACTTTGTAAATACAGCTGTTTCATAAGCCACGCCCCTTTTATATAATATTCATAGATATTTTGTTTTTTTTTTACCTACTGGTTCCCAGATATGATCTTTATGTTTTATCTAATAGAGACATAACTTCGGAATGTTACCAGTATAAATAAACATAAATAGCGGCCGCCTTGAATTCTGAGGGTGACCCAAAGTGAAGGGAGGGGTAGTACAGAATTTTATAATAAGTTTAAATTCTTAGAAGTTCGGGGCATATAAATGTTGAAAATATGCCGCACATCACTATATTTTGACCTTTGAAAAAAATAGTAGTGCATATGAGCTTTCCGTTCTAGGATATAATTTTTTTACGAAACTTCATAGTAAAACTGGTACAGTTTTAGCCGTAAAGGGAGTTCCTATGGGAAATTGCATTGTTTATATTTACAGAAATACAACCTATAGATAAACCATTATATACCTTGTTTCAATGACACTTAGGTATATACACGTTATATTAATACAATCTCTCTGACATTTTCAAAGCACAAAGTCTTTACCAAATGAAAGGACACGCAAAGAAGTGAAACAAAAGGAAATGGCATATCTTTGTTTGTCCAATTTTAAGGCAACCAACAAAATTAAAAGAACTTCTTTTGAAAAACTGATAAGAAATAGAAGTCATTCGCAGCTGATCAAGGCATTTCTATAACTGATTTTTATCGTTTGTTCATATGGCGTGCCGTTAAACACTTTTCCTACGTTAGGGGGATGTTAATGCGCCGGCAAAGATGTTTAAAACCGCCATTCTGTATGTGCCGATCCAAAGTCAGGATCCTGTATTTCAGTGATTGTCATTTGTTGCTGTATACTGGTATGATATTTGTTTTTTGTTCATTGTTTTGTACATAAATCAGGCCGGTGGTTTTCATGTTTGAATTGTTTTCTATTTGTCATTTGGGCATTTTAAAGTTGACTGGCCGGTATGGGTTTTGCTGATGTGTGGAAGGTCGTACGGTGACCTATTATTGTTAACTTCTATGTCGTTTAGTCTCTGATAGAGAATTTTCTTTTTGGCAATCATACCATATCTTAGTATTGTTATTGACAGAAACATGTAGCATGCATTGTCATTTGGTATCAGAAAATAAAGTAAACCTCTTTGAGACACATAATACAAAATCAAACGAAACAACCAAGATAGAACAGATTCATTTTTCTTTTGAACCCTTTGAATACTTGTAACGATTCACGAACATGCAGGTTACTTATCTTTTTTTTACCCACCTTCTATTGATATTTACTTTAAATCACTGACGAATTAACTTAAAGGTAATACATGTAATATATTACTCCTGGAATCCAGTGTTTTCCAGGAGCTCTTTTGAAAAAAAAAATACCAACGCCTAAAACTACATTACAGTTTGTTCATTGTTAGTGTTGCTTATCATATTAAATAAGCAGGTATGTGTGATGTTATTTCAAACATTAAACCATTTTCAGTTCTTGTTAGTTTTATACAATAACAATGTTTGTTATAGGTTATGAAAGGAGACCATGTAGACTTTGGTAAGTGCATCTTTTCAAATAGTATTGTTTCTGTGTTAAGTGTAATATGACCTTTTCTAAGTAAGGAATAAGACACAATCGGTAAAATTACAGACGACTATACTGGTATCTAAAGATCTAAGAACGAAACACATGTTGCTAGTGAGTTCACTAGTACACCAAATTTGATCTGAAAGTGCCATCTTAATCTGAAAAGCTCTTAAAAGACTGAATAGATTTTTAAGTCATGTTCAGTCTTTCAGCTTATAATTCAGACTTTTTACTGGTGTTAATTCAGTACTGTTCATACAACTCGCTGTCAGTCAATCAACATTTGTTCAGTATATGTTCACAAAGGCAATAGTTGTTATTTAAAAAAGTAAGAAGATGTGGTATGATTGCCAATGTGAGACAAATCTCCTAAAAAAAATGACGGAGAAGTTAACAACTATAGGTTACCGTACGGCCTTCAACAATGTGCAAAACTCATACCGCATAATAAGCTATAAAGGCCCAAAAATGACAAATGTCAAACAATTCAAACCAGAAAACTACTGGCCTGATTTTTGTACAAAATTATCTACTTGTTTACGTCAACATCATACTAAATTGTCAGAAAAGCTTCTGTACAGTAGTGAATTGACTTCAAGCGAAATGTCTGAACAGTACTTAGTAAACCGCAAGCGAAATGTATGACCCGTACTGAATATACTGCAGTTGCTGAAAATTGTGTTAACAAATACACATGATTGGATTATTTATTGTTCAGACTTTTAAGATAATGTTAAGATCGAAATTACCATATAAGACTTACATTTATTTACAAGTGGTTGAGACACAGACAAATCGTATCGGTCAAGGGATTTATGATGGTGTCCTAAAAAATGTACTGTCGATTTTAGTCGGTCGTCCTTATAACTATTTAGGAGCAGTTTCTTGTGCAAGGAAAAATCCCTGTTAACGAAGTCCGCATAGTGAGAACATGCACGTATTACATGAGATATGTAAACACCATACGACGGAGCATAGTATATCGCACTGCTAAAAAATGAAATGGCGACAACTTGAAAGTTAAAATCATAACGCTTGTCGTTGATTCTAGTTTGAAGTCGTCCTTTTGTGTCAATATCTAAGAAAATATTAAGGTATGGAACGGATCTTCTACTTTCGGTATGGTAATTAATATCACGTTCACTTGTGAGCAAAGCCATTAAGCAAACAGATTATGGATGTCAGTAGTAAATCAGTTGAAAATTGTTAGAATAGTAGGAACAACATTTACACCTCCATATTAAGCTAAGTGTTAATCAATGCGATTATTTTGCTGAGACCCATATACATCAGCGCTAAATTGCAGAAAATCCACAAAAGAATATCTTATCATCACCCATCATTTGCATCTTTAAAATAATGCATTGTTTAAGCATAATCATGTCTTACTAAGTTTCTTATTCTATATCCAAATACGCAATTGTTATGCTGAGCTTAAGTAAAAATATAACTCGTCTTAGGTAATATAATTAGCTTTAAGGACTTCCCTGTTAAAAACATGTGTAAAAGGGCCAATGGTATACACTTAAATCTGGATGAGGTTTACAAAATATATTGAAATTGGCTAAACAAAGAATAAAGGAAAATAGGCCAATACATTAAACAAGTTAAAAACAATTTCAAAAAAATGTCATCGCTTCTTTACAAATCTATAAAAACATAATATTTTGGTTTTTATAGATTTTATATACTGATAAGGTCCGATCATACGTGTTTGGTCGGACCATATATGTATACGCATATGGTGCAAATATTTATATGGTCCGGAACATATTGGTCTATTTAGAGGACAAAAGTATAATTTACAAATCGAATTTTCAACCAAATATTATCATACAAAAAATGCTGGTTTACGTATAATTGATATTCAGGAGCGAAAGAGATATCTTTATCCCATTACAATTGCATATTTAAAAAGAAGCATTTTAAGATTACAAAGCAACATTTTTTTAATCTTTATTATGTTGAAAGAGAAAAGATACCAAGATGACAATCACAAACTACCATTTAAAAGATTACAGATACCATCCTACCCAAATATAAAACGACTAAAAGACAAACAACAATAATAAACCACAAGACAGAAAACCTAAAAGATTATATTGTACGATCTCAATCAAATCTTAAATAACGTTTCAAATTAAAACCAATGTTAAAATAATGAATCGTCAATATATTACGTTGAATCCTGTACCAGTGTACCTGATAGACAATAAATTTCAGTGTGAACTAATGTTAACACACATACGTGTTAACTAACGTAGATACCATGCTTAACCGTTTGTACATCAGACATGGATTTCGTCTATAAAAGCCTCATCAATGACGCTCGAATAAAATTAAGTCAAACATATATATTAAACAAATATTTTTTATGATGTTTTAGAAACGGATCCAGAGAAATGGGATCTTGTTCCTACTGATGAAGATATTGATAAAATGGCGCCTTTGATTGGAAACAAATCCTTACTATTTCTGGTCGAACTTGGGATGGACCTTGACATATGGGCAACAATCAACTATAGACAAGTGAAAAGGGATTTAGTGCAACTGAATAGGGATATTTTAAATGAATGGAAGAATACCTTTTGTACAACACATAACATGAAACCAACCCTGCGGATAATTGCACAAGCGTACAAACACATCGGCAATGATGTTAAAGTTATGGAAAACACTCTTTTCAACTGACCTCAACAATTTCCGAACTCTTTGCTGTACCTGGTTTGTTAATGTACATATGTTTAACAGGACTAATGATTTCAAACACACGTACATTGCATACACAACATATATTTTTGTCAAGTTTTACTCTAACCTGCAACAACTTTGTTTTACATTTTGCATTTAACAATATGAAGGTTATTTTAGGAACATAGCTTGTGTTAATTGCAAATAATTTATAACATTTTCCTCGGGTTATAAAATATTTACTACCAGCACAAATAATGTTCCTTACATAATCTTCACATCGTTAACTATCGATTAAAAGTTCGGGAAGTCTAAATCGACGATATATCTGCACATCAGGTATACTACTTTGAATGAAATATACATGTAGGGCTACGAAAATAAATAACTAGTAAACATCAGACACACGTCAAATGATATGCAGGTTAGAAAAATGTAGATTGCAATGATCGTACTGTTTATCAAAAACTTGACAAATATTTGACAGAACAGATTAGAAAGTTTGAAAGAAGCTACAAAGATAGTGTGGTCTTTTTTTGTAACTTGTATATAAGTATTTTACATTTATTGAATATTTGATATTTTGTGCTTATCTTTATCTTATATATTTTTGTTATTTTTTTTTATTGGAAACTTATCTAAGATTAATATCTAAAGTTTGCTTTGTGAATCATTCCTGACATTCTGCGCGTTGGAATATGCAAGAGCAGTTTTTTAAAGGATCAAAGATAGCATAACTGTGACAGTGCTACGAACTCAGACTGTTGTACTGCTTTTTCTCCTTTTTGGTAGCCGAACAACAGAAAAAATGTTTTTTTTCGGGATTTCTATATATTCTTCATACAAAATATAAACTCTGATATTTACTTGTGTAATATTACTTCAATATTTAACAATAGAAACATCTCAAATAGTTTCTGAATTAGAGTACGTTGAGATTACTTGTAACTTTCAAAAATACATAATTTAATATGTATATGTATATGTATATATCGCGGAAGCAGGGCATCAGCTCTCTGATGAGAGATTTTATAAGATTCGTGACCAAGACCCTACTTCCAAGTTTAGTTCCAAAATTATTACTGCGTTACGAACCATGCACAATGACGGTCACATAGATGAGGATACAATCGGATATTTAAAACCGAAGAACGCCAAGCCTGGTCGATTGTATCTTCTTCCCAAAATACACAAGGTTAACAACCATGGTAGACCCATTGTATCCGCAAACGGCCAACCAACTAGAAAATCTCGGAATTCGTAGACTTCCATTTAAAATCTCATATAGAAAATTTTCCTTCTCACATTCAAGACATCACAGATTACCTTGGTAAAATGGAATCCATCAACCCTCTTCCTCCGGAAACTCTCCTTGTCACTTTAGATGTCACCTCATTGTATACCAACATACCTTATGATGACGGAATACAATCGTGTATGGAAATATGGGACTCGCGCAACACTTTAGAACCACCTACCGAATGTTTAGTCCAGCTGCTTACTCTGGTTCTTAAATGCAACATTTTCACCTTCAATGGTGAACATTACCTTCAGATAAACAGGACAGCGATGGGGACGAAAATGGCACCGTTTTACGCCAATATTTTCATGGGCAAATTAGAGAAACAAATCATTTCAACATCTTTATCTAAACCTGTCTTGGTTCCGTTTCATCGATAATGTTGGCATGAAATGGATTGAATCCAAACAAAAACTGGATGATTTTATCAAACATGCAAACAACGCCCACCAGTCAATTAAATTTACATATGAAATTTCCGACTCTAAAATATATTTCTTAGACACAGCTACATCTATAAAGGAATGTGTCATTTCAACAGATTCTACTATAAAACTACAGATAAACATCAGTACCTTTCTCCCTAAAGCTGTCGCCCCAAACACTGTACAAAGAGTATCCCGTACAGTCAAGCTCTCAGAGTAAAGCGGATTTGCTCCTCTGAGGAGGCTGTCACTAAACGGTTACAGGAACTTCGCGGATTTTTTACCAAACGAGGTTATAAGAAATGGGACATAGATAAGGGGTTTGCGAGTGCTAACAATGACAAACGCAATGACCTATTACAGTACACACAGAAGAGGCGAAGCAAAATATTTCCGTTTGTTTTAACACACAATCCCGCCTTTACTAACCTTTCACGTTTGATCCTCACCGATTGGCAGACTATTGCCAAACACCCAAAATTATCCAAGATCTTTCCCAAACCTCCTGTCTTAGCTTTTCGGAGACCAGCAAGTCTGAAAGACTTATTTGTGAGAGCTGATGTCTCCTCTAATAAAAGCTTTTTAACTGCAGGATGGTGCAAGTCGTGTGGTAACAGACGATGCCTGATTTGCCAACACATACTGAATACTCAAACATTTACTTGCCATTCCACTCGGTCTGTGTACACTATATTTGCAATGTAACATGCAAAACCCAGAATGTTGTATACCTTTTCAGTGTCGATGTGGCATGTAGTATGTTGGCGAGACAGAACAGCCATTCAAAATACGCATGAATGGTCATCGAAGTGACTACACCTGCAAGCTCGACCTCCCCGTAAGTCGTCATTTGAGATCACATGGGCATACCCAAGCTGATCTCAAAAACCTTACCATCACTATCATAGGCCACAACGAGGATTGGTCAAGGGCCGACAGACTTGCTCGGGAAAGTTTTTGGATAAGAAAGTTAAGGACAGTTTCCCCAGAGGGCATTAATCAAAAACATAGAATGAGTCCCTAGCATCACTTGCTTCCAGTAACTCAGACTTTAGTACAGTACAATTACAGTTTTAAGGAATGTATTTCTCCTCCCAAACATCAATATTGAAAAAAAATTACCAGCGTATTGATTCGTGATAATTTGTATTACGATCAAGATTATAATTTCAGTTTGACTACTACATGTCAAGATAAGAATCATTTTATATCTTACTGATGAAGGATATTAGTTATCCGAAATATTTAACATTTGTTCATGATTGTTTTTTTGTGATGTTGTACCCTTTTAGACTTGTTATATATATATATACACAAGAGAGTCAAAAGCTTTGCTAAAATCTAAAAATAAAACAGCTCCATCTATTTTAAAATTTTCTGAGTAGTCAATAGCATCCTGTATCTGTCTAATATTGAAACCAATGTACCTGTTTTTTATATATCCTTTTTGATCAGAGTGTACAAGTTTATGAAGTAAAGGTTTGAGTCTTTGCGCCAGTGCATATGCCAGAAGTTTCACATCATAGTTCAAAAGTGTTGTAGGTCGATAGTTGTCAAGCGACAAAGGGTCATTTTTTTTTATAAATTAATGATATAACACCTATTTTTTTTGTGTTTGACAATTGTCCTCTAGTATAGCAATGATTAAATGTAGATACTATTACAGTTTTTAATTCCTCCCAAAACTTTCTGTAAAATTCAACATTTAGTCCGTCTAATCCTGGGGCACGGTTTATTTTCATTTTAAAGATAGCTTCTGTGCATTCTTTTACAGTTATGTCTCCTCCACAAGCGTCACTTTCACTTTCACTTAGTTTTTTATGTTTTTTAATATCATTTAAATAATTTTGTGTTTCTTCTAAGTTTGGATTTCTTGACGTGTATAAATCTTTACAATATTTTACTTCAAGGTTTAATATTTTTTTCTGATCTCTAGTTATCTTCCCTTTTTCATTATATAATTGTGTTATGGTTTTTTTGCTTTGCAAGTGGACCACACACTTTAAATTTCACACACCTAATTCTGAGAATGAGAAACCATGAAAAACTCTTTTGGACCGTGTGAAATAGCTGGCGTATTTCGTCTTTCATCGATTTTGTTCAAACACGTTTCATGTTGATACTCAATAACCCCGCTAGATATACACATCTTATATACACCAATAGCTGGCGCATTTTGCCAGCTTATGTATACAAAAAAGTTCCAGCTTTAAGGTATTAAAATGATGCAGTATTCGTTATTCTTGTGGAAAAATTGCAAATCTTTCAAAGAATTTGGAGGATTTTTGAACCCAACTTTTTGTTTACAGGAATGAAGTCTCCGACCTGAGGTTATCCTGAAAGAACTTGAAAAAAACGTCTTATATACTCAGATGTTTTTTCCGATTGCTTGAGAAATGGCAAAGATACGAGCCTCAGAAAATGACCAGATTGCAATGTCACAGGTTGACAGGAAAAGAAGGGCTTTAATATGAACGACAAAACAATAAATTTATCAAATAGCTTCCTGTCTGAACTTTCCAAAACGCCAAAGATCTTTCAAATCGGTTGAGAAATGCCAGAGTTATTAACGTTCAAAGTCGGTATGCACTTTTTCAATGAGGGTTGGGGTTAGGGTTAGGGGTTAGGGGTTAGGGGTTAGGGTTAGGGTTGGGGTTAGAGTTGGGGTTAGGGTTGGGGTTAGGGTTGGGGTTAGGGTTAGGGTTTTAGGAATTTCAGAGAATAATGGGGTGAAGTGTCAATCTAAATGTTGTGATATGGTTGGCGTATGAATATATGAGGGTTTGAGTTGGGGTTATTGTAAATAGCCCTTGACCATTTTCTTGATTATTCCTGACCCTCATAAACATTTTATTCTTTTTGAATCTCAGGACTACGGTTCCTAAAACTTTTGTCGACAACAATAAGAATGTATAGTTTTACACAAATTGAGTGATTCATAAGTCTTCGGTTACAGATATCTATGTCGAAAACAATTAAAAGCAACAAAATTTCTTCTGTTTTACAGTATTCTGGCACTGGCCTCACAATTGAGTAATATGCATAGGTTCAGATGGATTGTCAGACATAAAAGGTGAAGGAATTAAGGTTTAGAAGTACTATATGTGTTGCATTCATCAATAAACGGTGCCAATATTGACCATTTTCGTGATTATTCCTGACCCTTATAAACATTTTAATCTTTTGGAATCTCAGGACTGACAGTTTTACACCGGATAGAAGTCTACGGTTCCTAAAACTTTTGTCGACAGCAATAAGAATGTATAGCTTTACACAAATTGAGGGATTTATAAGTGTACGGTTACTGATATTTATGTCGGAAACAATTTAAAGCGACAAAATTTCTTCTGTTTTACAATATTCTGGCACTGGCCTCACAATAGAGTAATATTTAAAGGTTCAGATGGATTGTCAGACACAAAAGTGAAGAGCTAAACGTTTCAGGTTTCTGTTCTTGTTGTCGGCATCTATAAATGGTGCCAATATCTACCCATTTTTGCTGATTATTCTGTACCAGCATGCTCATTTTATTGTAATGATGGATTAATTGACACAAAATGAGAGCTGTATAAGTTTACGGTTACTTATATTTGTTTTTATAAAAATAAAAGGCGACAATATTTTTTCTTTTTATTGATATTCTTGTACCGGCTTGGTAATTGAGTAATTTTTGTACCTCAAGATTGATTGTTAGACATTAGAGTGAAGGACTTTAAGTTTCAAATTGCTATATGTGTTGTACTCGTCAATATAGAGTGCCAACATTGACCTTTTTCTTGGTTATTCCATACCGGCATCATCTTTTATTCTTTGGTTCATAGGTTTCAGTCTACGGAGACTGAAAACTTTGTCGACAGATATAGAAAGTGCCAATATTTCTACTTTAATATGATATTTAAGTACTGGTCTGATACATGAGTATTTGTTTGCCTCATATTGATTTCCTCTTTGCAAGTGGACCACACACTTTAAATTTCACACACCTAATTCTGAGAATGAGAAACCATGAAAAACTCTTTTGGACCGTGTGAAATAGCTGGCGTATTTCGTCTTTCATCGATTTTGTTCAAACACGTTT